CCCTCGAAATGTCCTGTTACTTCCCCTCGAAATGTCCTGTTACCTCCCCTCGAAATCTCATACTACTTCTTCATTCCTTCGGGCCACCTCATTCTACGCGCGTGGTGCGGCGTCCTCGTTGCTATGTACCTCTGGGGAGACTGGGAATGGGGGTCCAACGTGGATCTCCCCCCATGTAGTTAGAGTAGAGGCGTACCCGTCAATGTAGCTGTGGTTTTTTTTTTTTCTTCTTCTTTTTTTTTTCTTTTTTTTTTCCTTTTGGCTTTGCGCCTGCAGTTAAACTGGGTTAGCCTCTCGCGGCCACGCCAAGGGGGAAATTTATCCACTTGAGGGGTTACCTACTCATCGGTTGGGTATTTTTTTCTTTTTCCACTGGAAGAGAACTCGCCATAGTTCACTTACCTCCATGTGGCACTCTTTTTTTAATGAGCTCGTTATGCCCTTACCACAATGCAGGAGCAGTCGCTGTAGTCGCTATAGTCCCAGTTGCTCCGTACCACTCTCTGCAGTGCGCCTTATTTACCTCTCCATTTTGTGGCACCCCCGAGTTATGAACGAAGCGAAGCGACTTTGGGGAAGAAAAAAATTCCCCCAAAAGGTGTTCCCCCCAAATGGTGTTCCCCCCAAATGGTGTTTCGCCCCACGTTGTGCCTCTCACATAGCGTCAAAGAATAGAAAAAAAAAAAGCGAAAAACGTAACCGTTGTTGAGCGACTCCTCTTGTTACCCTCTCCTGCAACAGGAAAATATCGAATGGGCACATAAATACAAATGAGTATTCAGATGATTTTTCTGTCACGGTGGGGAAGGAATCTTCCACAAGTGGAGAAGTGAACTACCCCTTTGGAAAAGGGATAAAAATTTAAAAAGTGTACTGTGCGCATTTGTGTACATCTGTTGGGGCAGCTTCATCAATGGGTATAGAGTGGGGGTGGTGATGGGGAAGCTTCATCAGTGGACATTGACTGATGATGTTGATGGGAAAGGCCCGATTAGCTGGACGCAAAAGCCCAAGTCGTATAGAAGGGACTCATATCCCCTACCACTTTCTGTGGCTATCACATGAAGATTGGCTTCCTCGATTTCTTCGCGGCAACTGTGGGAGATAATCTTAATCGCTCAGTAGGAATAAGGAGAGGCTCCCCTCCCGCATCGAATTAACGTCCAATAAGATAATTGCTTGGAGTTCCACCGAAGGGGACTCACATAAGTGGAAAAAAAAAAAAAAAAGTGTCCTACCTGGTTACAGCTCCGTTGTTGCTACGTCTTTTGTTGTCATCCCTCATCTGCTACGTTTTTGCTGTCACCCCTCTGCCGCTACGTCTTTGTTGCCACCCCTCTGCCGCTACGTCTTTGCTGCCACCCCTTTGGTTCGTTTTTAAAACTCCTGCCAACCGCCGTCTCTCACGTCTCCCTTGCGATGATGGAGAAACACCACCGCTGCTTCTTTCCAGAAGGATCCCTCTCGCGGGGGGATCACCCCGCATGCACACTTTGACCCTAAACAGGAAAAAAAAAAAAAAAAAAAAAAAAACCTATGCACCTCGTCCCCCCCCACACTCGAGCTGTTCTGTCTCAAATGGAGTAGCAACTTTTAACTGAGAGAAAAGGCGACTCAAAGGTTATGAAGTTGTAAAAAAGAAAAGAAAAAAAGAAGAACGCAACACTACGCATGCAGCACTTGCAAAAAAAAAGAAAAAAAAAAAACTTTAAAAATAATGTTGTATGCAAATTTAAGAAGGCAGAATTAACCTTCCTGCATTATCACTAAGCACTGTGGGAAAAAAAAAAAAAAAAAAAAAAACTCGGGCAAATGCTAATTCTGCCTATAACAAAAATTTCTAGCATATATTTATGAAGACACAAAAAAAAGACAACCTGTTTATTCTTATACCCTGTATGGATGCTGACTGGAAATTTTTTCTTACTCGAGAAAATGAGTTAGCATATGTGAGGGGGTAAGCCAGCTCGTCGCTTGGAAAGAAGGGCCCCGCAGGTTCCTACGTCTATGCAAGGTGCTCCTTGCAGGTGAACTCACCAGGGGAAGTGGGAGGCGTCTTTTCATGCTCACATGAGTAGTAGAAAGTATTGTTCTTATTCTATACCCTTCCATTTCACTACCTCATTGTGAGTGTCTACAAAATGAATAAGAGACAGATCCTCTTCAGTGCTGTGCTCCTCTCCTTGCTGGTGGCACCCCTCCCTCCCTGCGAGAGGAATGTAGCTGGAGAAGTTTTTTCGGGAGAGGAAGAGTGCACTGTGGAGGTTCCTCACGGGGGAGGAAGTGCACCCCGAAGTGATGCTAACGTGAATTGGGCACATTCGGCATGGATCGGGGTCACCTGGGGGGCCTCTGCTTGGAAGGACGCCACTTCGGCAAACACAATCTGGAGGATGAGGAGTACCGCGATGTCCTCCCCCGCTGCGTCCCCTAAGAGCAAATGGGGGACTTCCTCTAAGGGGAGCCGCAGGACAAGTAGGTCACTCCAAGAGGGTGATGACGCGAAGAAGGACTCCCAGGGGGGAGAAAACACGAGCCAGTACTTCAAATGCTTCGTGGACAAGGCGAAAGAAAACCAAGGCGCGAAGGAAGACGACATGGCTAGGTGGGTCGACCCCAAACACAACTCCTGCTACTGCAGTGAAGAAAATACAGAGCCCTGTTCCATGGACGATGTAAGCAACTCTAAGTTTGTAAATCAGCTGATGGGGAAGGAAATCTGCGACCTCAATGACATGGGAAATAAAAACAATCTCAATCTCTTCATCGTTCTGGATAACTACTCCACAATAAAATGCTCCAACATAGAGAGCAGGACGGAGAAGATTAATCAGATGGAATTGTACCAATATTGCAAAAATGGGTTGCCTGCCTGGGATAATAGACACTTTTACGAATACCTCAACTGTGACAAAGTGAGGAACAAAAAAGGGAAGAAGAGAAAAGAGGAGAGGAAACAGAACGAGGTGGGACCAGACGAAACATGTGTTGACCTATGCAAAGAGATCAGAGATCTATGCAACTCGAAGAACTCTCAATTTTACTCCTTCGAAATGTGCAGTAAGTATTACGAAATGAATCATTTCACTGCAAATATTTTTAACAGAATCTTTAAGAAGTTTCACGAAAGATGTTCCTACTTCGACCCCACCAATAAGGGACTCCTCCTCTGCAAACATAAGCACATACCATGCGAATTCAGTGAGTGGTCCGATTGGAGCGATTGCTCAAAATCCTGTAAGGATGACACTTACGATGTGGAAGCGATTAGGACCAGAAAGAGACACCTAATTAAGGAGGTGAAGTATGCTGGGAAGGCATGCAGCATAGTGGTAAATGACAAAAACAAATTGTCTGATATCCAATTCTGTGATGAGGTTCCCCTTTGTTCTTCTCTTCATCCGCCTAGCAATGCACCGAATGATCCTAACCGTGCTGCTGAGGCTCCCACATCGGAGAAGATGTATAGCCCTCCTTTTGTGATCCCATTGAAAGAAATCGAAAAGGCTAACATACTATACGATTTGAATCAACCAGATGGAGACGTTATAGATGAGAACTTTGTGCAGAATGCTTCTGACGATCGAACTGAGTGCATCGTCACGGATATGGGACGGTTCGAAAATTCAAGAGAGTACAGTGAAAAGGTTAAATCTTGTGCCTGCCCTGTTTACCACTCACCATGCTACTTTAAAGACGTATACAAATCCAACTACTGGAAGGAGTCCTTCGATCGGCACTGTGCGGATAATCCGACCCTTAACGTTTTCACTGCTGACTTCGTCATGCTGAGTTGCGATAACTCTGTCACCATTAGGAAGAAAGAAATTGCAATTAATACTTACCTTGCTATGACCTTTGATTGTCGATCTCCCACCTTTCGATACCTCTTTTGCTCCAAATCGAATGAATCATCTTCCAGGACGAATATCTTCTACATCATATTTACCTGTGCCCTTGCGTTAATTTCTGCCTTGTATCTCATCCATCTGCTCATTAGCGAGCGTGACAAGTGGGCCTTCTTCATCCAAGGCGTCATTCACTCCAAGAGTCGCTCCCGTTCGGCGGGGCCCTCCCCAGGCTCCTCCTCCGACGAGGATAGCGAGGAGGACGGCGGCAAGGCTGGAGACAAGGACAGCGACGCTGGGAAGGCAACCCTACCAGGGGAGACACTCACGAAAGGTGCGACCGGGAAGGCAGATGGCAACCCCATGCCAGATGACAACCTCAAGGAAGATGGCAACCTCAAGCCAGATGAGACCATCACGGCGGAGTCGACGCCCCCACCAGGGGACACCCCCCTCAACACATCCCCCTCCCGACGACCTTAATCCGCTTGAGGCTCTTAAAAGACGCGCAAGGCGATGTGGATGGAGAAGTTAATTGGACGTTTAATAAGAGGAAGAGGGAAGGGAAAAGAAAAGAAAAAAAAAAAAAGAAAGAGGAAAGGGAAATAAAAAAAAAAGAAAAAAAAAGAGACAAAGGCGTATGCCCTTTTGTATATGCAAAAAATTGGCGATCATTTAAAAAGTTTCATAATGCCTAGTGACGACGCGTGGCGGCACCACGAAAAAAGGGATGCATTTGTGTACAGGTGTGCTAAACCCGCGATGGGGGGGGGACAGAAGGGGCACACTTCCTCCATCCCAACAGTCGGCATTTCCCCGCGGCTTCACTTCTTCCTCGCAAGGAATCAAAATGTTTCCTTACAACTTGCACACAAATTCGAATAAATTCTTCTTTTTCTCGTGCTCCTTTTTGCCAATTCAACACGGTTAGAAAGGAGGTTGCAGGGTGGGGAGGGTCACAGTGTCTCCGCCGCGATTGCGCTGTGTCTCCGCTGTGTCTCCATCGCGACTCCCCCGTTACAACTCCTCTATATGGACCTCCCCCATCAGGAGGGCACGCTCGGTTGGCCTCGCGCCCATTCCGAAATTGCAAAGTCGGCGGGGGTTGTTAGCATGAGGAGGGAGCAAAAGAGGGTACAGAAGGGGCGTACCAACGAGGCGTACCAACAGGGCGTACCAACATACGGCACGAGCACAGCACTTTTCCACCCCGCCTCTCCCTCACGTCTGCACGGCGAGCTTCACCAAGTGGTCCATAAATATCTTGAGTGACACATCGTCCGTGTTGATAATGTAAGACTCACTGTTTGACGTGCCGAAGGTGCTGCCACTGAGCGAGTTGTGCGTTGTAGACGGGTTCACTTTGGCGAGGAGAAAGCGACTCTGACTGCCGCCACTGTTACAGAGAACAAATTTAGGGATAGGGAACCGATCCTCCAAAATGGATTTGGCATCTTCATGAGGAGCGTTCAATAACTGACTAAAGTGTTCATACTCTGGCTTCTCGTGAAATCCCTGTTCTCTCCACTGATATATCATTTCGCCGTACCATACGACGATGTGGAAATAGGAATCTAGGAGGAGGATCACATTAGCTTTCAGCGACTGAGCGTCGAGAAGGACAGGTACGGGGGTATGCGATTCGAAAGAATATTGCAGCAAGGCGGGCTGTATCATGATAAGAGAATTCATTGCATTTTCTCGGAGAAGTATCGATCGGTAGTATGCAGTTTCATCTGGACTAGCATTAAATGTCTGCAGAAAATGGGACCTCCTCAAGTGATACATAAATTGGGGGTAAATAGAGAACTCCGGAGATAGATGAAATGAATTCACATCATCCTTCTGATAATCGGCAAATGTGCTGACCAATCTTATAAGCTTCCTGTCTAGCCATCTTAACACATCTATGGGTTCATCCGTCTCGGCTTTTAGAACCGCAAATCGAGCCATAATCACAGCAGCCGTCTCTTGGTCAAACCCTTGAGATATCTCTGCAATGTTGGCTTCTGCGAAGCGGTAAGAGATAGTGGTCACTCGCAATCGTCTCCTCCCACTCGGATGCTGATAAAGGGTCTGGAACTGTAAGTAGGCTTGTCTGTCTGGAGGAAGGGAAGAAATATTCTGATTTACAATCTCAAAGTAGAAGGCTATCGTAGACTGTCTGTCTAAGGCACATATGGTCCATTCACAGGTGCCCCCTTCCCCTACACAGGTATCCGAGACATAATTAGCGACTTTCCGGTTGCTTGAGCAAGCACCGATGGCACCACAGACTCGAAATTCCTTCGAACATATGATCGTTAGCTTTGCATTGTAGCCATGTTTTATATACCCATTCGAATCTGTCTCGAAAATCTTTTTAAAGGAGTCCTTAAAGACATTCATAGAAAACGAATCGGCCATTACCATAAACCCGTTTGTCTTTTCACAGCATACTTTCATCTCATACAATCCGATCTGATCTAATGAGCATGCAAAAATATCAATCGCGTGACCGGATGCCACAGCTCTGTTTGCCAAAGACACATAATACTTTAACGCCTTCTTCACATGCCTAGCGTTGTTATTCTCTTTCTGCAAATCTAGGTGATGTCTTAAAGATTCACTCAATGGAGTATCTACAATTTTTCCTGGAGAGGTTGTATCTGCTCCTCCTATGAACATCATGACTCTGCCACTCAACTGATTGCAGCAGCATTCTAAGAGTCCTATTGCTACACTGAGCGCTACCCCTGTACACCTCTTTGCTCTCTGATCTGGAGGAGTAGGCCAATTATCCTTCTGTATATCCTCCAACAACATGTTAATGTTGTACTCGCATTCACTAACTGGTTGGAGAAACCTTCTTGCTGATGCGGAGGTGGTGGAGCTCCTGGGATCATTTCGTGTGCCCAAGTTTAACTGTTTTTGTAGGTCTTGTGCGGTGATGTCCTTGGTCCCCTTGAAGACATAAGACTTGAGACAATCCTTGAACCCTATTTCGTGCACATAGCACATATTTCCAAAGGTAATTATTCCGATGTGCGCATCTGGTGGCATCAAACTTATGCATTGCTGAATGGAATCCTTCAGCTGCTCCAGCTCTTCCTCCAGGAGACACGTGTCGATGACGAAGAGGAACGTCGGCGGCGGGATGTCTCCCACGTTGGACGGCTGTATGTACTCAATGTTGGAGTACATCACGTCGGCGGGGAGGTTCTGCAGGGGGGGAAGATTACATGAAACGATCGCGTGGGAGGCTAAGCAGTGGCGACTAGGCAGTGTCGCACTAGCGCGGAAACGTACATGGAGGCACGTGAACAACGCGCTCTCATACAGAATCGCGGCAGTAACATCTTTCATTCGCTCCACTCGCCACCCCTGTGCGCCGCTCCCCTCAGGCCTACCTTCTCCGAGATGTGCTCCGCGTAGTGCATCGGGAACGGATTCTTTATATTCGAAAAGGGGCACGTCCACGTTTTATTCCTAAAATCTATATTGCAGTACGGATTCAAGATGCAGTTGCTCGTTTTGCACTTAAGTGGCTCATATTCCACTAGCTTCACGCTGTTGTCATCCGTTCTCTTCAGGACCGTGTAGAGGCACCCCAGGGGCACCTCTATTTTCGCTGCCTCATTCTTCGTCGGAGGCCATAAGTTCCAACTGAACCGGATCCCGGTCTGATTTTCTTGCATGTGGATATCCATGTTGCGCGCTTGGTCGGGGGCATCAATGAGGGGTTCGTGTTTGGGCGTATCTGTGCGTTTGTGTTGTCTTTCTTTATCTTCGTCTCCGTCTGTGTAGAGGCGAAATAAAAGACTTGGGAGATGCCGCGACGGAGGAGGCCTTCCCTAGGGCAGTCTAACTTTCGAGGAAGTCCTCTTTTCCTACACAGTCCCTTTTGTCGCCTGCCCTTGTGCTTAGCGATTACTTAAAATGGGGGGGAGGTACCTCGTGCGGGGGTTCACGCAGGGGCGAAAAAAAAAGAGCCTTCTCCACTGCGTTGAATCTCCCTCCGATGCGCTTCTCTCTCTGCGAGCATCCCAATCAACGGGTGCGGTACCCTTCCCCGTCCATCGGTGGTGCTTCCCTTGATGTTGTCTCTTCCTCTGCGTGTACTCACGGCTGCGGAGCGTACCCACGTGTGTCACTCATGTGTACACAGGGACACACGACCACACGCGAGTGTTGAGAGGTACTACGGTCGCGGCTGCTCCGAATGGAGCAAATATAACGACCCGTTTTGGCGTGTTGTTTAACGACCCGTTTTGGCGAGTTGTTTGACGACCCTTTCGGAGCAGAAAAAGGAACAGAACAGAACGAAACAAAACAACAGTTATGATTACAGAATTGACTGGCTGACTCCAAAGGGATTCTCACTCGCATGTGCACAGCTTATGGATTTCACTCGTGTGGGGCGAGGTGGTACGTACCACGGTGCTCCTCGTCATCGGTGAATTCAATACGTTTAAGTTGCGTTGTATTCGTGCGAGCATAAACTGTCGATGCATTGTTCTTTCCTCTCCTTTTATGGGTCTTTCTTCGCTTTATAGGGCAGCTCCGCGACAGATTGCCACATGGCCGGCCAAGCATAAGCACATTGCATACGTACGGTAAAGCATAAGCCCATTGCATACGTACGGACAAACGTACCACCGAACGTACGTGCGCCGTTACATACGTGCGTGGTACCTACGCGCGGGTGACACGTTCGGGCAAAGCAAGGCATACAAGCGCGTGAACGTCAAATGACACTTGGGTATTTTTCCAAAGGAGAAATTGACGCAGATAACAAAATTAAAATGACAAATGGGGAAAATGTTTTTCCTTCCGTACGATCATACGGTGGCCACGTTCAAAGAGGAAAAGAAAAAGAAGAAAAAAAGAAAAAAAAAATATCCCTTAATGCACTAAAACGTTGTTAAATTTTGGCGTATTTTTTTTTTTTTTTCTTTGCGCAACATGGCCGGGGCTATTTGGAAAGCGTTGCTCCTAAGTGTTCGCCTGTGGCGTAGTGTCCCAAGTGCGCAGAGGGAAAACCAATGAGGAAGTGAATCGCGAAATGAACAGCGGAAGGGGGGCAGCTCTTCTCGAGAAAGTAGCACCCAGTGGTCACGCATATGTATGTAATATATATGTATGTACAAATATATGAATATCTTTATGCTCGTGCTGCCGTTTCGGTTGCCCTTCCCGCTGCCCTTCCTGCTGACGTGCCTTTATGGCCTCCATGGATGCTCCAAAATGGAACCATAAAAGAAAGCACCAAATCGAATGTAGCGAAAGGATCAACCTGTGGACAGAAAATTCAAGCGCGATAACAACTTGCAACATATTCTTAAGAGGGAAAAAATGAAAGCAAACGAGACATGAACAAATCGTCCTGGAAAAAAAAAGGAAAAAAAAAAAGAAAAGAAAGGAACACCCATTGGACATGTGTTGCCCTACCCCTTCCTCTGCACCGTTTACACGAGCCAGGTGTTTCCACAGGTGTATTATTCTGTTAACGTGAAGAGGGGAAGGTGAAGTCGTCCGGCTTGGGGGGTAACGCCATCGTCATAACCATCACTACAACAGTCCCCATCACCATAACCATTACCATATCCATCACCATAACCATTACCATAACCATCACCATAACCATCACCATCAGCAAAGACGTCACCTCAGCATCGCCTTCCCTTCGGAGATGTGTAGCCTTGGGCGGTCAGGGCAACAGGGAAGGGACTACACCGTCAAGGCGCACAGCCGAAGGGGTGGCATTTACACCCTTTTGAGGAAGCCAACAAATGGGTACCACGTAAAACGCAAAAGGTCCCCACATGTGTGACAACAGGTGCTCACGTTGACTTGGAAGGGAGAACCGGTGTAATACTCCCCCGTATGCGTCTTTTTTTTTTTCTTCTTCTTCTTTTTTTCTTTTTTTACCTGAGTTGTCAGCTGCCATTAGGGGCAACTTCCCATTGATGAGCATTCAAAGGCGGACAAAAAATATTTAATAAACTGAATTTAATCCATTGCGATGTTGGGGGTTCATCATTCCACCGCTTCACCACTCCATCAATACTCTTCTTTTGGATCATTTGCCGGCCGAGTAATTCCCGCTAGCTGAACGGTCAACATGTGAAGGTTTTAACTTCTGCATCAAAGCCTTTTGCCCAACGCCTTCTCCACATTTAGCAGACCCATCCCCAGCCGAACGTGCCCTCGCACAGGCTTCCTTACCTACTTGTGCGGAGCGGGAAAAATCACCGCAGCGTGGCTCCGTCCAAAAAGGAGAAAACGTCCATTCAACTGTCCATTGGGGCTGTCGAAATAAAGAAAAAGAAATATATCACCTTTGTAAGAATTTGCATCTCCAGTAGTGATTACATCATCACATAAAAGGTAGACATTGAGGAAAAGCGAACAGGGGAGGAAAAAGAAAAAAAAAAAAAAAATTCACCCCTGCTCGTTATGCAGCAGCGTGGGAGAGTACCTATGTGCGCACACAAATTGGAGACTTCCTTGCGCGTGCGTAGATCACTGGGTCTTCTCTTCCTGGATCAGCCTTGCGCAGTCTTCGGAAAGGTTGAGCCTTGGGAAAAATTCAGCCGTGGGAAATTTGTACTCCCTGGAAAATCTCCACCCCTTGGAAAAGCTCCAACTCGTGTACCACTTGCACTCTTTCCACGATTTTTTAACCACGCCAACGTCGACATTTGGGACAGGAGGCCTCCCCCATACGTGCAAAAAAAAAAAAATAAATAAAAACTGAACCCTTTTTGCGAAATTATCTAGCTCTAAATGAGTAGAGCGATGGCCAAGGAAGTCACCATTTCTCAGTGCATCAAAAACTGGGAACAGAAAAATGGCAAGACGGAAAAGAGGCGGCTGGGAGAAAGCAGAAGAGGGCGACGTGGACAATGCTGACGCTGCAGAGCTGCGCCAGGATTGTTTACCATGTCGTCACTTCACACGCTGACATAGCCACCTATTTTCTCATCGCCGCCCATTCCCCCTCCCAGGCAGAAAAATCAGCGAAGAAGAAGAAGTGAGCTTCATATGCCACGTCCCCTTAATCGAGAAATTAGACAACAGCATTAACTCACTGGAGAAGTGCAAGCGCTTGTCCTTGTCGACGAACCGAATTGAGAAGCTGATCCCGATGTCCGGTCTGAGTATGCCCCAGAGTGTTGATCGTGTGTGCTGAAAGGGTCGTATTGTTGTTCCGACGTGGTTAGCCACTCTACCGCTTTACCACTCTACCGCTTTACCACTCTGCCGCTTCGCCTCGCCACGACGCAGAAAATATTGAGATCCTCTCGCTCGGAAGAAACTGCATTAAAAAATTTCAGTTCCTTGAAGACATCAGTGCAACGCTGAAGCAGCTGTGGATCTCCTACAACTTCATCGATAAGCTGGACAATCTGCAGTCGCTTAAGAAGCTTCAGGTGCTTTACTTGTTTCACAATAAAATAAAAAACATCGAGGAGGTGGACAAACTGGTGAGATGACACCAGAGGGCGCTTCCCATCGATCGCGCTAGCGAAGTGTTGAAGTGGCGAAGTATTCTCGCGCTGCCCCCTTTTTTGTACTACCCCGTTCATCCATTTTTACTATTATTTTTTTTTTTTCCCTTCCTTTTTGAAGAACGCCTTACCAGAACTTGCCGAATTGGGACTTAAGGGAAACCCCTTATATGAGGGAAAGACAAACGTAACATTTGGTTTAGCTAGTTAGGCAATTTCTTTTTCCTTTCTTCCTTTCGCAAGACAATCCGCACACGTTCGTTCTTTGCTCCCTTTTCCACCAAAACTGAGCAGGAGTATATGAAGCTGGTGATTTTAAAAAAGCTGCCCCAGCTGAAGGTCGTGGACAACGAGACGGTAAAAGGAGTGTTGTTCGACGTGCATGATGAGGAAAAAAGAAGGGAGGGAGAACAACATCCCTGTATTGTGCCATCAGTGCCACAGAGGAAACAGACGTGAGGACACATGTGAAGGCCTGAGAACACATGTACAGACGCGAGGACACCTATGCAAACGCATGCATACCTCCCCATACATGTGCGTTTTTCCCTCCCTCCCCCAACAATGCAGATAACGGAGAAACAGAGGAATGACGCCCTGACGGTTGAAGTTGTTTGAGCGCAAAAAAAGGAAGTAAAAAAGAAGAAAAAAAAAGAAGGAAGAAAAAAACTACCACATTGAGATAACTCCCTTTCCATTTTAACCTTTTGTCCCATCCCGCTTCCTCTCCGTCTTAACCTTAACATTTTCGGTGATATCAATTTTTCGTTCGTAAGACTTTATCTTTTTCTCCACATTGTACTGCGCGCGGGGTCAAAAGGGGAAAGAAGAAACAGATATGGAGTGCCTAGCAGATTTGGCGGATTAACATCCGTGATCCAATCGAATGTCTCTCCTGCCCCCTTACGATGTCTTTGTTCAGCTGGATGCACTGCAGGATGGAGATGCTTCCCATGCCGCCGATGTGGTCGTACTGGTTCATTCTGCGGGGGGCGGTGAGCGAGAAAGGGGTAAACCGTTGGCGGGATGTAGTGGTAAGTAGTCACAGGTACGTAGTGGGTCTCCAAAGGGACGCCGCGCCTGCCCTCCCCTCCTGCGTTACTTATTGGACACGCTGTTTGTCGTGTCAATCTTGTTGGTAAGGTCGATTATCATTTTGTCCATTTCGTTCAGCGTGCAGTTGTTTTTTTCGATGATGGTCTGCATTTCTTTTTTCCTCTCCTCGTGTTCTTCGATTTTATTATGCGTCTGTCTTAATTCGTTGAGGAGGTTTCCTAGGAGCGGTGAGAAGGGATGAAGAGAGTGGGATTGCCTAGTGGCCTCGCGATGGATGAAACGTGACAGAGCGTGTGGGTAGTAGCCTCCCGAGCAGTGAAACGTCATAATGTGTGTGGAACTGCCCCGTGGCGTGGTGGCCTCTTCGCACCGCCCATCCCCTACTTAAGCAGGCGTAGATGTCCTCGTGTTCCCGCATGAGCCTGTCGTAGTGGAGCTTCTGATTGTGGATGAGCACGTGGAGGTACCTAAAATCGACGTTGTTGATATTCTCGTTTATGCTGATTATATAGTTCATCGTGGAAAGCTTTTTCTTGTAGAGGTTTAGGAGAGTGTGGTTTGTTTTTTTGGCTTCTCCGACTTTGTCTCGATGCTTCTGAACGATGTCACTAAAAAATTCACTCAAACAATGCTTCCGTTTCATTATGTAGGTGTCATTTTTCATTCTCTCTTTCCATGTGTTGTAGGTTTTTATATCCTCGTCTAGCTCGAAGAGAAGAATTTTACACTGAGTGATCATGGAGATGATCATTGTCTTTGCGTTGTCATAATGGATGGTGTTTTTTTTTATCTTCCCTTTGAGCTTTTCTATCTCGTTCACCGTCAGCTGTTGCTTCTCGGGCAGGTTCAGGTGGCTCCCTGCGGAGGGGGGAAGCCGAAGGGGGAAGTAGCGAATGGGTAGTAGGAAGTAGCGAATTGGCGAGAGGGAGGACACATAACAGCCCCGTTGCACATTTCCTCCCCGACTGCGCGACTGCTTCCAAGCCGGGCCCTCTCCTCCCCTGCGCAGGAAAACTCACTGTGGATATCCTCACGAGCCTCGGACGACTGAATGGAGTAAAGCTCCCCCGTGGGCTCCTGCCGCTCCCAGTGAAGACAGATGTTTTTCTCGATTGTCTGGCAGGGGGGCGTGGGGGGCTGTTCCACTGTGTGTGTGGGGGGGGAAGTAAGTGAAGTGGGTGAGGTGGATGAAGTGGACCAGGTGAACGATGCGAACGACATGGACCAAGTGAACAATATAAGGGGGCAACCAACACGGTGGAGACCTCCATTCCGCTGTTTTTTTCTCCCCCGTTGGTTATTTCCCTTCAGACGACTCATCTCGGAGGTACCTGTCTGGTCGTGCTCCTCCTCCGGCGTCGCCCCCCCTGGTGTGTCTTTCCCCTCCGATTGTTCACGCATTGAAGTTATTCTTGTATTGGCCCCTCGTGAAACGGAAATCATGTCATCTATATCAGTACTGTACAGCCTCTTTGCCAGTTTCTCCTTTGTTGGAGGATGCCCACACAAACCAGTGGTAGGAGAGGTCCCTTCCATCACCGACTTTGTTAATATATTTTTTAAAACATTTTTGTAACGCCCTATCTCCTTATCGAGCAGCTGATTCAACTGGTATGCAAACTCATGTCGCGTTAAATTGAAGTCTATTTCTTCTTCCACCGCGTACAGACTGGTACACACGTGGTGGAGGTAGGGAAGAACCTTCAGCAGTTTCGTCCCATCTTCGTAACTTTCAATCAGTTTTAAGAAAGCCCGGTTCTCCAGTTCGATGCTTTCATTTTCTCTCTATACAGGGTGGAGGGAAGCCACAAAAAAGGAGAAAAAAAAAATACACACATATGGGTGTGTTTGTATAGTTCTATGGCTTAGCACTACTCCGTCGCCTATTGAGTCATCCCTCCGCTGTGCGTCTCCATGGGGGTGTGATGCCCCCCCTCCCCGCGGTTCTTACAACACAGCTTTTTTTCTCTCCACTGCCTTCTTCACATGGTACAAAAAATCTGCCTCTCGATTTTGTTACCCCTCACCTTTATGTCCTCATTTTGAATGATCAGTTCCTTGAGGAGAATTTTCTTGTCGTCTAGAAGGTAACTCATGTTTTTCGACTTCGCTGCCGTATGCCACTTTACGACCCTTTTAGCTACTGCGTTTTTCTCTCCTCATTGGTCCAATTTTCCGGCGCACACCGAGGTGATGGCGGAAATGGTGAGTGACCTGGATGGGCTTAGACGGGCAGCACTTCCATCCCGCATTTAAGGAAAATTGGGAAGCCCAAGTGGATCACTTTTTCTTCTACCTTTGACGGGTACGTATTGCTTACAGGTAGATGTTCTTCCCTCTGTGGTCATATAAAATAGCGTGCGTGAAAAAGACAGCCAAATGGGGGAAGAAAAAAAAAAAAAAAAAAAAAAACGAACCAAAAATTGCAAACATGTCAACGGGATAAGTACCGGCGCGAATTACCCATCATTTCATATTCGACATTTTTCATCATGCAGAGTGGATGAATTCGTCCTGGTGAGAGATCCACATAGCGACGTCATGTTTCGCCGTTACAGGGCATACACCCTACCTCTGAAGCGGTCACCCCATAATGCGGTAACGGAGTAACACGGTGTCGTGTGCACCCCCTCCCTCAAATTACACACATAATCGCATGACCAAATGATCGTCTAGAGTTAACAAGTCGGACATTCTTTGCTGATCCTTGGGGACCATGACAAAGTAGCAGCCTTTTCCGTTTACCAACCTCTCACGTTTCACCTTCTTAACGCTCTGCATGTACAGCTCCATGGGGGTCCCCCTTATTTCATTTTGCTGGGAAGGCAAAGAAATGGGTCATAAAAATGGGTCATAAAAATGGGTCATAAAAATGGGTCATAAAAATGTGCTAACAGGCTAGAGGGATGCGGAGGAGGAAGTATTTGGCGTTTCCCGATTGCATGCACTCCTTAGAGCGGACGCGACAAGAGGAGCTCCACCAGTGTGTACCGCTTTGTACGGAGTAGCTGCAAATTGTAGGTACAACAAAGGGGAAGCAGAGAGAAGGACGGAAAACCGAAGAGAAGACCGAAAAAATAAACGCAGAGAGAACCGAAGAAATAAACACAGAGAAAATCGCCGACAAAATCGCCCATAAAATCGCCCATAAAATCGCCCATAAAATCGCCGAGAAAAACTGCAAAGATGTGTCCCCCTCCTGAATGCTTTCCCAATGTTTGCAAGATATAACCCAAAGTCGGGGAACCTTTCACTTTTTTGAAATGCAAAAATGGAAGAAGCAAGGGGGAAAGGTGGTCCTCAAGTTATCTTCTTTTTGTGAGTTCTTCTCTTCCCCTGTTGTAAATGCTCCTGGCATACCCACTAATGTGATTTACTCCCCTGTTCCCAATCCACCTCTATCAGCTTAACTGACGGGGCGTGGGATGCATATGTAATGAAGCCTACGAACCATAGTAGCACTTAAAAACAAAACGTCCCTAAAGACATGCGGGAGGTGGAGGAAATTCACCTTAGTTGTACCTTTCCTTGTGGAGGGCAGCACCAGGGTGATCTGTAATATGTTCTCTCGGGAAGTAAACCCTTCTATGCATAATTTCTACACCGCGTATTTTTTTTTTTCTTCATTGCCACCTTCGCCAAAAAAAAAGTAGCGCACTGAGGAAGACTCGACAAAGCAAAAATACAAATAATAAATGGCTAGGTTGGCCCCCTTGAACATTCGGAGCAAAGCAGCATCGCCAATTCGGAGCGGAAAAAAAAAAAAAAAAAAAAAAAAAACAGAATATGAGTAGGTCAACGATTCAAGCGGCGTAGGAAACAAATCGACAAACTGTGGATCTGCTCCTACGTACGTAGTATACATAGTTCATCCGCTGGATATTGCAAATGGGAGAATACACAACATTTTGTAACATTTCGTAACATTGCTTAACATTCTGGCGTAATCCATTTTTCCACTCCTCAACGGGTGGGTCAGATATTACTACAAAGTGACTTCAACACGATATCAAAAAAATAAACCAGCGAGTACCCTCCACTCGTTTGACAAACTCTTTTTTAAAAAGAAGAAGGTGATAAAGGGAAGAGAGAGCCCATAGTGTCGTAATCCTTATCCTTTTTTTTTCTTTTTCATACGAGCCGAAGAAAACAGAACGATGCCGCTTACTGTGGGGAAGGCAGGTCCCGGCTCGGACTTCCGAAAGTTCATGGAGAAGCGACTGCAAGGTAGTGTGCTGTTGTGGAGTTGCGCCGGTGGGGCGGCGCGCCAAAAGAGAGGAGAAGTCAATATAACAAAATGGAAAAGAGCAAAATGGAAAAGAGCAAAATGGAAAAGAGAAAAACGGAAGAGAGAAAAATAGCAAAATAGCAAAAATGCAGAAACGAAAAAATGCAGAAAAGCAAAAATGCAGAAAACCAAAACAAACTGGCCGAGTGGATGCGAATCTGGCCAGCAAACGACGAAACGCCCGCCCAAACACACGCACCAAAGTGGTAACCCCCCTTCCTTACGACAATTTCCTTCACATTATACACCCCCTTCTCTTATCCACTTTTTTCAGTGTTCCTAAATGGAAACAGACAAATCGTCGGCGTGCTGAGGGGCTACGACACCTTCATGAATTTGGTTCTGGACAACACGGTCGAGATAAAGAAGGAGGAACAAATTGACATCGGAATTGTCGTCATCCGCGGCAACAGCATTTCATACTGGGAGTGCCTGGACAGGGTTGACATTAAATGAGAGCACTGTTGGGTAGTGCGTGCGGGACGGGGAGGGGGGAAGCGATGGGTATGAACATATAGCTACGCTTGTAAAACTGCGTACGTCCGCACAATTGTAGCTATATGTTCATACCCATCTCTTCCCCCCTCCGCGGAACCCCAATTGAGCGACCTCATTGTTTCCTACCAATTCTGTAATTTTTTTACACACGTGTAGTGAATCCCCATGGTGAGTCGCTCTCCTCACGATGTGTCCACCCATCCGTCCAGCTTATTCCTTTTTTTTTTGTTTAACGTGACTCAGATTTTTCCATCTCTTCTTTATTTTCAACACAACCTTCTTGTTAATTACCCCCTTTTGAATTTTTGCCTTTTCATTTTGCAAAATAAAGACCAAGCAGTCGCAAGTAGAAATGTACTCTTCTTCCCTGCAAAAAAAGAGAGAAAAAAAAAAATAGCTAGTATTGTGTGCAAAAGTGGGAAGACTTGTCTGACCACCTGAACAGGCAAGGTGAAAAAGAAAAAAAAAAAAAGCGGAAGGCATAAGAGTCTATGTGCGAGCAGGGGATTTCCCTTTCATGGAGTTTTATTTCGCGCAGATAGGCTGGTCTCTTGCTTCGTTCTGCGCTTATAGGCTGTATTTTTTCTTCTTTTTCGCCGTTTTTTCTTCTCTGCGCCGGGCCCACCTGCTCTCCAACAGTCTCGTCGAAAAGGTGTAACAATTTCGCGCCAACAAGAAGTGAGCGGACAAGTAAGGAGACCCAAAGAGCAACTCGAAAAAGTAATTCTTGTCTTGCAGCAACGGGATGACCAAGAAAAACGTCAACTCGTGCTCCTCCTTCTTTAAGTGATACAGAATGTACACGATCAGTTGGTTAATTAGGTACACATCGAACGGGGGGTTCACTTCGTACGCTCCGCTGCGTAACGGAAACTCGAAGAAGTTGCCCGAACTCCCGAAAAATGTATCGATGTCTGGGAAGAAGGAGCAGTAGGATGGTAAAACTGCGTTGAGGGGGGAGGAGAAGCACTCCCGTTTGATTTTCAGCTTTCTCCACAGGAGGGTCATTACGCGCTTCGGCACACAGCTCTTCCGAGGGGGGCAGGGGAGGGGAAAAAACAGAGAGGGTAGGTGTTCATGTGAGTGTGTGTTTATGTATCTATCTATGTATGTAGCTATGTATGTGTGCATGCACACGCTTATGTGAACGTGCTAGGGGCGGGGGGAGGAGGTATATCCAGGCAGGACGCACACCTATGTTATCCTCCCACCTCCGCGCGAACCTACGCAGACTGCCATCATCGCATGGCCCATTCCGTTATAACTCTCACCCGACGTACCTGCAACCCCGAGTGGCGAACATTTCCAACCAACGTGTGGTATCGCATGATGAGGAAGAGGAGCAGAAAGTGGAAGTGACGCACGAAAATGTTCTTTCGGTTTTTTATGAGCATTCCTATTTGCTTATGAAAACAGTCGTGAGTTGTTGCGTCTTCCGAGGCTGCTCCACGGATGGCACAAGAATGATGATACGTATATGATGCGGCTTCCCCGGGGGTGGTACCCAAATTGGCAACCCTGCCCAGAACCAGGTATCTACCCAAACATCCGGTGCAGACGCAAAACACACGGTTAAGGAGGAAGGAAAAGACTAGCGGATTTCTCGTATAAAAAAAAAAGCAGTACCGATAAAATAGTAGGCACACATTTACGCACTTTATTTTATATGTCCTCCTTGTGTGGTAGTCCTTCTCGTGAACGAAATAACTTTTCCCATTAAATCGGTAGTATACATTTGGAGAATCGGCCGAGTTTCTCTCCCCCCCTTTGGATCTTAAGTTAAAAATAACGACATCGTTTTTCCTCTGAATGTAGAAGCAGTCTCTTTGGCAGTATTCATACAGATCGTAGTTCTCAATCGGTGCACTTCTAAGTAACCTACGTATGTATCGAATGATATTCCTCCTTAGCTGCCTTTTTGTGTTTACTTTGCCGATTCCCGCTCCACTTATCGTTTGGGAAAGTATGCGGCTTCTTCTGTGGAGGGTAAGGTTGGATCCTGTACTCATGTGGGTGGTGACCCCCTGGGGGGTGGCTCCACGAAAGGTGCGCACATCCACCGCGTTCGCCAGTCGGAACACCAGGAGAACCATCCACACGTTTAACTTCTTCACACTCTTTTGCAGATAGGAAGTGGTCCTCCTTAACCTCCTCTTTGCGATCTCACTCCTTCCACTGCGTGCACATAGAAGGTGCACCGTTCGATCGAACTTCCATGCGAGGTAATCCTCAACGAGGTTGCAAACACGTCCCCGTTGGTATTTTCTTGACAGATGTCTCCTCATACCTGTAGTAGGTGCCACTCTGCGTCTCTGCGTAGATGACGCTTCTCTTCCTTTACCACTCATGCACTTTGATGAAATTCCCGCCCTTTCAAGCGTAAGGGATGACTGGACCATGCACAGATAAAAATACATGTTAACATGTTTGATGCTTTTTCCATATAAGGCACTTAATAAGGGACGTAAAAATGTCTTCAGATTTTCTAAAAACGTTTTTCCTTCAGTATAGATGTACTCACTTAGACGATTGGCCTGATGGAGGACTCTTTCTTCGTCTTCCAACTGGTTGGAAAAACCTACTGATGTGTGTTTTTTTTTTTCTATCCTGTTTGCATCCCCTTTTTTGCTAAGCCGGCTTGAAGGGTTGTTCTCCTTTGCTGTGTCCCGTCTGAAGGGCGACCTCTTCGACTGGTCTGCTCCCTCACTTCGTGACAGGATAGAACAGAGTTCGCATGGAGGTGAATACATAGCACAGTTAGAGGCGATATTTTTCTTTTTCCCTTCTTCCCCCTTCTGGAAGTCCCCATTGGGGGAGTCACTTCCCTTGGAATTTATCAACTCACCGAGATGGCCTAAAATGTATTCCTTCCTATTCAGCCGTTTGAAGCAGCGTCGGAAAATCCGCTGGACGTCGTGGCAACGGGGCGATTTCTCTGTATTAACCGGGTTAGCTTCTTTCCCTTCCCCCAATTTGAGGCGTTTCCGAGTGCTGCTATACCTCCCGCATGGAGGGCAGCAGACGGGACATTGGTGATCGTTCCCTTCATCATCTCGTGTTCCCTCTTTATATGATACAAGCTGCACTTCCCCCTTGTAAGGAATGCACCCACTGTTCATGAGGCTGCCAAAGTAGAGACTCAAAATGGATTCCTCCTGGTCGACCGGCTGGACGTAACTCCTCCGCAAGGTACCCAACAGGATGAAGGCTAACCGTTTCTTTTTCTCCAACGGGGTCATATTTCTGTTCCTTCGTAGTGCATCATACAGACAGAGGAGGCACCTGTGGAAGCACCCCTCCGTCTCCTTCACCCCTTCTGCCTGTAACCTGGGGGGGCTACTACCTCGGCCTGCATCCTGATCATTATCAGTTGGACTCTCCTCACAGTTGCGCTGCTTCGGATTAGCTTCCCCAAACGGACAGGGGAAATCACCACTCCCGGTTTTACTCCCCACGGGGATGTTTAAAAAGAGGAAATAAAAAAGAAACACAGAGAAGAGATACCCGAGAGGCAGATGCTCAAACAGAAGAGTGATATTCACAACACTAATGTGGAGGAGCTTCCTCACGTCTTCCTGCAGCAGGTTGAGGACACTATTTTGGAGGAAAATAAACTCATCATCCGCTGTTTCCACCCTGTGGTACGTAGGCAGTGGTCTGAAAAACATCTTTAGACATTCCGAAATGCCACTCTGGGTGGGTCCTCTCATTTGAAAAGAGCTTCCTTCCAAGTGGGACGTTTCCCCCGAGAAGACCGCCTCCTCCTCCGCACAGCAATGAGAAGTGCTACCAATGTCCTCATAAATTGAGTTCCACTTAAATTGGCTGCTTCTACTGACGAGGAAGGTAAAAATAGAACTTAATGAATTGTCGTATAGATGCCCCAAAATAAATCGTCCAACGGCGTGTTTAACTTTTGCTACGTTGACTTCCACTTGGTGTTGTCTGGATTGGAGACACTCTCGATGTCCACTCAGGGGGAATGACCTCATCGTCGTCCTCCTCCTCCTCCTGTGCACAGACAAATTACACGTGGGATGTTCCGCAGAAATGGAGAGTACCATGTAGATTGGAGCATCTTCCCTCCTGCTGATACGTTTGTTATGCCCATTTTGGGGAGTCCCATTTTGTAGAGTCCCAACTTCCACCCTGTAACGGAGGGACGTCCCCCTTGAGGAGTTTTTTCCCCTCCCCTTGGGTTTTCTCGTGCGGGAAGAGTCCAATCTGCGCACATACCGCTTTAGAAATGTCAAATGGGGATTCCTCCTCTGGCGCTTCAGTAGGGGTGCCACGAATGCGCAGAATTGTTTAACGTAGCGGGCGTCGCAGAAAAAGGGGGTATCCTTTCGGCTGTCACGCGTATTGCCAAGGGTGTTGCTCCTTCTCCTGCCGAATTCACCCCTATGAGACTGAACGCGCCGGACGCGCCTCGCAAACCGCGCAAACCGGAGGAAGCGAACGAACAGCCGGTAAAGATAAGTGTCCTTCTCGTCAAACGAATAGCTAGACTCACCAATGCGCAGGCTGAAGAGAAACCTGTTTATCGTTTCCTTCTCCAAGAAGGAAATGTGTCTCTTTAGCTCCACTGCGTCCACGTGGTAATGTCCTTTCACGTGATGTACCTTCCAAAATTCACGGTTAATGCAGCTTACCCTTCTTCGCAGCGAGGTTTCACAGGGACTCCTTTCCCCATCTTGGAAGCTACACCTCATCTTTCCATCGTTTCCATCCCTTCTTTTAATTCTCCTCAAGTAGTCATTTTTTAATTTTAAGTTTTTCTTGTAAAACAGCTCGAAGGTGTATGCATTTAGGAATGCCTTGCGCAGTTTGATGATCTCCCTTTGGAAGCTGAGCTCCTTGTAGAGGTCAAGCCGAGGGGAGGGCGCACCAACGAATCGTTCTGTCATTCTGTAATTCTGTTATGGCGTTCATCGATGTAGAGTATAGTCTCCTTTCAAGGAGATGAGTTGAAAGTGATCCCCTTTTCCCCCAAGTGAGAGAGTTGGGCACTTTCACACTTTGTCGATAAGAGAAAGAACCCCTTCAGGGGAGGAGAAGCACCTCCGGAATATCCTCGCAACGGTGCGAAAGGAACAGGCCCAACTGGTATCGCGTCATTTGTAAAGGTAACTATTGTCGTTTGACAAAAAAAGGAAATTGCAAAAGAGAGAGTGTATATCTCTCATTGTGTTACCCCTTCAAAGCATTTCTCATAGCCAGTACGATGAGCATAGCAAATGGGGGGAGAGAGGGTGGCGGGTAAAAAGGAAGGAACAGAAGAACATGCACAAGGGGGAAATGCTGTATAGAGAAACGCTACCATAATGATGATGGGCTTCATTACGGATAATTAAGTACCGCTTCTTACTCCGCTTGAAGAAGGAAGCTTCGGTTGACTTCTCCTTAATGCATAAAAGACCACAGCTTTGCTCGCTCTCTCAGTTCGGCCCTACACAGTGTCAGATAGAGCCGCTTGGCACAAAGAGGAATATTCAAATGGAATTTTCTCCTCTAAATGAAACTTCGTGCAGCCCATAAAACAGGTGTGTTATCCGGCGTTACACTTTCATTACAACGTCGTCTTACTGTGGTAGGAGAGATCCACTGGGGGCTCACGACAATCTCATCACATTGGCGTAGCGAGTAGACCGAGGGGAAGAAAAAAACACTTCCGGTCCATTTTGACACAGGTGCTGCGCTGAGAAGTATGTTTTGTGTAAGGAGAGACTTCCCGGCGGATACAGTGTGAAGGGGAAAGAGGATGACTTATCACCTTCCTCCAACGTTCCGCGCTGTGTTGCCCCCCCCCTCACGCATGCGCAATTATTATGTAAATACATTTCGGTCCTCCCACAGTTGCATAGTTGCCTCTTTAACAGCGCATTTCCAGCCTCGGCCTCTTCTCGATGTGCCGCTTAAATTTTCTCTCCACTCGGCAGAATTGTTTAGAAAGGAAGATTCTTTTTT